ACAGAATGATGGCGATTGCCTGGTAAGGTGTGCTCAGGCCAACAATTTGTGTTTCAAGAAGGCCAAATGTAAGATCACGTATCTGAAGACAAATAACGTATAGTTCTCAGTGTTAGACAACTTTTATTTTTAACTAGTAAGAGATCATATTTCAGACCACTTGCCTCTGTAAACAGTGGTGCTGCTATTTGTAAAGGACTGAATTGGCAAGTTGCGGGCCTTGGATCAATATACGCTTCAATACTTCTGGCATTTCTACTCATTTTGACCTCCAAAACATTATTGTGACCATAAATCAAAATACAGGGGAAGCTCAGAGGTTACTTTCTGCTCTTCAGAAAATTATCTGCTGTATATAATAGTGTTTTTCATTTTATTTTTCTGTATGGAATCAGATAATTGATAGTTACCCACACCACAAGAGAGCAGCTGCTCCTAGGCAGCCCATGCTGTGAGCCAGAGCCAGTTTCAGGAAGGGTCACCTAATGGGGCCCTTGGAAGTGTTTTACCAACACAAAGGGATGGTGCTCTGCTGGTCAGAGCTGACTTGCAAGCTGGGTTTAAGTGGGACAGGAAAGGGATGCCTCTGTCAGCCACATCTGCTGACAAATTTGAGCTAGTGCTAATGGGGTGGTGATTGACGTAAAGACACCGTTCAACAGGACAGCCTTTGGGAAGTTTACCAGCTGGTAAGACGAGTAGCTTAACCAGCAGCCTTAACCAGCAGCTGGGTTTTCTGAAGTGTGTGGTTCCTTAAGCAGTAGCTAGGCAACTACCTTTCAGAAAACATGCCCTGAAGTGGCTGGCCTTTGCGCTTGCACAGGAGGGTGGTGTGGCATGTTCATTGCACACCAAGCCAGATCTTCCTCCCATTTAACACATAAGTAGACCTTCATGTTTCCATATTACAACAGTATGTTAATCCACCATGGCACAAAGATACAAGCAGAGAGCGTCGAGTCTGCCACCTGAAGCCGATGCTGAAGAGACGGATGGGTGGCGAGGAGTGGTTTCAGCAGCAGCGGTTGCAGCTCCAGGGAAGCCCTGGCGGTGATTTCTAGAGTAGTATCATGTTATGAATTACCACTAGTGGATCATGACTACGTCAGCCTGTCCAGGCCCTGTGTATTCTGTCAGATCTCAAAAAGAATTGCATCAGGCTGTACTGCAGCTGTACCCTCATCCCTTTTGGGATGCGATTTCCATTTTTTCATTGTGTAGAAGTGCTAGCATAAATAACTTTCTTTTAGTTTTCAGATCTCTCTGCAGATATCCTTGATTTTCTTGTTCAGTGATGCAAAAGGCCATACTTAAGAACGTTGCATACAACACTGTTTGATTTCCAGGTGTGTTTTCCTTATTTTCACACCGAAATCTTGATAATAGTTTTAGGTGCGCCCTTTTCTTTCTGCTGCACGCAATCCACTTGTCTGTCTGTGTGCACTTCTGGGTTCTGTCTTCTGTCTGAGGAAACACCACAAGTCGTACTCTTTTCTAGTTTGTACAGAGTTTGGCTTCCTTGGTGGCCAGTCCTTTCCGTTCTTGAACCTGGAGTTACAGTGGTTCCCTAGGCACGTTCCGAGTGTTTGTCAGCAAGCTCAAGAGTGGCCTCCTTCCACAGAGGAAGACAAGCCCAGCCTAGGCAGAGCGGTGGTCTCTGTAACCAGGGCGGAGGCACAGCAGCATGGAGCTGGGTTGGTGACAGTAAAAGGTTCTGTTGTCTGTCCAGCAGCCATCAGGCAACTGCAAGCTGACAAGTTGGATCCCAGGTCAAAGACAAGAAGTTGGATGCAGCAGGGGAGAGGGCTGGGCACAGGCCTACCTACAGCAGAGCTCAGGCAAGGCCTGGCATGGAGCCTGGATGCAGTGCCTGGACCTGTGTGCTGAGAGTGCAAGCTGGTCAGGGCCCTCTGGGGCTGCTGGTGTGCTTGGGGTCCCACCAGCTGGCCTTTTTCATCCTCCTAGTTTTTCCTCAGTGTCATCACAACCCTTCCTCTCATACTATTTCTGTGAACAGCAACTTGCCACCCACCTGTGCCTAGTGCACATGAATCCAGCAGGAAACACAGATGAATGCAGCGGAAGAGAAGAACATGGCTGAGTTGTTCCAGACTGAAACCACTGTCTGTCACTAGCCCATCACAGTATCGTATTCAGAAATACATCTAAGAAGAAAGAGAGCACGCAGACATCAAGCTTGCATATGTACAGTGAAGTGCTAGACTTCGAGTGTAGTCCAAGTAGGAGAGAGTGAGCGTTTTTCTGAGGGCAAACTCCACCTACTGTCTTTTAATTAGATGACACTTTATTTTTTTGGTAAATAATACTATGCATAGGTAGTGCAAAAGATCATTAGCACTGGGAAGAACAAAAAAAAAAAAAAAGGGTCTTTTATTTAGTCAAAATATTTTTATTTGGCTGTATTTAGCAGAAGGTTTGCTTTCCTCCTCCTCCCCCTCTATTATTTGCTCATTATTTCTGATTTCTCATGCTTCCATTCTTACAGTACAATATATTAACACCTCGCACCTCTTCAGCACTTTCCAGTTAAGGCTCTCAAAGCATTTACAGACGAGTTAACTAATCCTCACAACAATCATTAGCAGTAGAGAAGTAAAATGATCTGCATCTGCAGAGAGAAGTTATGATTGACTTTTTTTTCCAAGTTTTTCTTTGATTTTTCAGTGTCCAGCTTGTCTTATGCCAGGCTTGATGAACCTACGTATCCCTGCAGTTGTGTTTCATGCTTTTGAAGGAGAGAGTGAGTTTGAGCACTCAAAATCTAAAGCTATTTATGAAAATCTTTCTTTAGTAACTTGTTGAAGGCCACAAAATAAGTGAGCAGCAGAATCCAAAACTGGGAACAGGGCATAACTTCAGGTGTACACTATCCTATCAGACATAACTCTTTGAAACTTACCTTTGGATTTTAAAACCACAATCCATTCCCTTCTCCTCACACATTATCCTCTACTGACCATTTCAAGCAGACTTCAACCTCAAGTACTTACATTCTGCATTTTACTAGCAATTTTACATGAGGGTCTCCACAGTCATCAGTTGTATACAGTGTACAATGCCTTTGGGTAACTGTAATGAGCCTTAATGGAAAAAAAAAAACCAACAAAACCACAAATCAAAACCAACAACCTAACAAGCTACGGGTGTGGATTTTATCTTTGAGTAGTATTTAAAGCAAACTTCAGAGTTTATAGAAGAATCCAGTGTGGTTGTTTTAAGGAAAACACCCCCCATCCCCAAATCTGGTTCAAATGGAAGACCAAATACTAACTTGACATTAATACCTTCTTATCAGTAAGCATCTGCATAGAGATTCTTCATAAAAACCTGCAAATTCACAATTACACCTTGCAAACAGAAGTACGATGACTGTTCAAGCAAACACTAATTTTAAAATATCTGTTCAGTTCATGTAAATGGTATCTTCATGTTAGCTCCATCAGAAGATACTGTCTTGAAACACGTATGAAACTTTTTCTTAGTTAGGTTAACACTGAAAATTCAAACAGTCAGACAAACGCAATGCAAGTATTTTAACAGAAACAATATAAAATTTCACTGGCTTAAAAAAAGATTAAATGAGAAATTTTGGTTATTTCAATGAATTGCTAGACCCTACATTTAAAATTATGCATTTACAGAACTATTCAGATGAATTAGGCTTCTTCTAGAACTCTAAATACTGGAATTCTGATAGATTGTGCAAGTATTAAAAATATTAACATTTTAAATGTTAACATTACAATTTTAAATAGCCTTGCAAGTGCAATGTTATAAATATAAAAAAAACCCCTTAGAGCTACAATTTTATGTAAGTTATATGAGTAAATGAAAGTGCTTTTCAAGTATTTATGTTCATTTACAGTTGGAGTCTCTTGTATAAGTCAGTGCTCAGATGGTACAATTTAAATATCAGTCTTTTAAAAAATTTGGATGCATGCATTTAACTGGATGGAATAAACGGTTTCATTTGCAGAAATGTGTGCTAAATATTTAAATGCAGAATATAAATTGTGCTAAATATTTAAATATGGAATATAATAAAATGTGAATATTGTTTTGTTTTTTTTTTATCTATTCAAAATAAAATAGAAAGAGGTCACATCCAGATGGGTGTGTGATAGCCTGATAATGCCATGGGAGCCCTTGAGCCATACAGTAAATGCCAATTCCATCAAAATCCCAAATTAAGAGATGCTAAATAGTTGTTCTTCAGTAGAGACAAAAGCATGTGACCATAACAGAGGCCCAATACTGTCAAAGTTTGAAGAATTTAAAAGATCTCATGATGTGTGTCAAAAGCCATGGAATCTAATGAAAACTTTCCAAGACTTTCAATTAGTCAGCCCTTAGCTGTAGTCACTCTGGAGAACACAGCTACTGCGTGTTGCCACTGTACTGTCTGCCCAGTGCATGGTGTAGCTCCCTTTCTGGCTACTGAAGAGCTGCTATTATTGCAGTGATACAAAAAAGATTGTATTCCTGTTTGCCAGCCAGAGGAAGGGGGAGGTAAGTGGGGAGATACTTGTTTACTAGACAAGAAAACCAGAACAATCCAACCCTAAACGAATCATCATATATTTAAAAGTGCACTGAAAGTAAATCCTATTGAACCCTATCTCTGGTAAGTGCCAGAGTTTCATCTTAAATTATATCCACTTTGAACACTGAACATATGTAAGCTGATGTTAGAGCATTTAGTTTGTCTTGCAGTTTGAAAAGCACATGACACAAGGCAGCATTAATGTCTTTCATTCAAGATCTGGCGACGTCATAGTTTTATCATGAAGATGCAGCTTAGAAATTACATAGTTCAGCAGAAGCCCCTGCAGACTGCCATTACAAGCTTTCTCCAACAAAGTGCTTTGCCATTTGCCAAAGAGAAAAGTCAAATTGTTGACCTACACAGTGCTTGCACTGGCCATTTATAATTTTCTTTCCAGATGCAGTTGGACTTGAATAAATTATAGCTCTTCAGAGTCTGGCAAATCTTTGTAATAAAAGCAGAGTTTCATGTTCCATCAAGAGTGGCCACTGTTTAGACAGGTTTCTTCATGCAGACCTGACAACGGCTGATGATATTTTCTAGTTCTCCTGCTTTCAAAGTCTGTGGTAGAGGTTTCCTAAAAGAAAGGAAACAAACATTGACCTTTTTCTTTGAAAAGCAGAGAGAGATGATGAACCTTTGGATATGGAATTATTGACAACAATATTGAAATCCTTGGCTCACTTAAGGCATCTTTGTGCTACAGGATGACCCTAAACCTAGCAAAGGGGGATGTCTAAACTGAGGGGAATTACTAGGGGAGCCCCCACATGTTATGCAGGCAGTTATCGTCTCCTCAGGCATTTGCAGCGTGGATGTGATGCGTAGGGATGCAGGGAAATACAGTGTACCTGAACATTCTTCTTGGATTTAATGATGCCAACCAGAAGCTGTAGGAATTTGTGTAGTAGTTGCATGTCCCCCTGCCATGGCACTCTATGAATGGGATGGCTCGAAATTCTTCCAAACAAGATCCAGGAGACGCCAATGCTTGGCCAGAAGCTTCTGAGCCGGCACTTGTATACTGTAACCACCAATACATTTTTTTATGAGAACTTGTCCATCAGATTTTAGTAAACTGCAGGCAAAAAAAAAAAAAAATCTCCTTCTAAAACATACCATGTGTTCTGTGGTATATCTTGGACAAAACAAAATGAGCACAGATTAGTTCAATACAACTTGTAGCAAAGCACAGAAGCCTTACGAAAATTCAAGCACAGTTATGGCATTTCTTAAGTCCCTGAAAGGCCTTTTTCTGCTCCACACAAAGGCATGACACTGTAACCAATACAAGACTAATAAAGTAGCTGGCTTCTGCCCGGTTGAGGACTACAGTAACTGAATGACAAATAAGCCAAATCCCCTATTTTGTGTGTGTTCATATTTTTTTGTTGCATTGATTGCTTCTCCAACCACAAAAAGCAAAGAAGGCATTTTCCTTCTCTGATATTGGTAAATGATTGTAGAAATAGCTCTAAAATAATTTATGACAGTAGAAAATTGGCTAGGAGATACCACTTAAATTTGCTGATGTTGGAAACAAGCAAATGATTTTAACCAGATGCTGCAAAAGTGCTCTCATTCTTTTCCAAGATCACTATATTATTACTTAGGGCCAAATCCCAGGAGAGACAACAAATTTCACACTAGACCTAAAAGGACTTTATATCATCCAAAGAAAGAGGGGGTTTTAATTCTTTCTTTCACCCTCATTTAGTGGCATCCCTATCACATCCCACAGGCATGGATGACAAAGATGAAGTGCTACATCCCCTAGTATAGACACACCCTTATTCCCATAATTAGTTCTCATTTGAAAGCACATTATGAACTTTCTTCACTCATATCTCATTATAGCATCAAAATTGCTGAGGCAGTCTTTGTAGACAGTATAGTCCATTTGTTTTGATTTTAGCTTTCTGTGGAATTCAGCCCCAAGATCCAATTTATAAAAGAACTGCCTGGCATGGAAGTGGGCCAGTTATTTCTGTGTATTTGCGTTCAGGACCGGTTTAACCACTCCTCTCCCCAAAGCTGTTTCCTAGCTCTTAGCATGACACATGAAAACAAGAGCCTGCAGTTATTTTTGTCAGACTAAATCCTATGGTTCTCCTTTCATCTTTTCCCCTTTTCCTCCTGCCACCTATTTTTGAGGACAGATCAGAATAGTTGTTCCTATGCTTCTGGAATTGAATAACAGTTAATAGAATTACTGTCTACTTCTTGGGAAAGGAAAAAAAAAACAATTTAACAATTACTAATTAACAAATGAGCTGTGAGCAGTTGAAAACACCAATGAAGGTGAGAGGACATAGAATTAATAATTCAAGGCTTTACATCCTTACCATAACAAAAGAAAAACCCTTCCAGAGAGACATCCAGCCTTCTGGACATGCAGGCACTACCATTGTTTGGCTGTGAACTGCTATTACCATTGCAGCTCCTTCACAGACAACACACCTGTAAGAAGAAACACACGTGCATTCAATGCAGATACGAGGGAAAACACGAAAGCAGACAAAAAGTGTAGCTTCTAGCATAGTAGCTACCTAAATGGCAGGGCTTACTATAAATGTTACAACTCACACAGGTTTTCCATGTTTAATGAGGAGATAAGCAAATTGAAGGTAACCCAAATACCTTGCTTTGCAACTGCTTTGCTGTTTCTACTAGTAACACCAGACAAAAATTGGTATAAGATGGGAATTAGTCCCAGAATATTTAAGCTTCCTAATTTTGCCTTTACTGAAGCAACAAGCTCATTTTTACCTTCTTCATGTGCTCACTACTTTATGTTGTTAATGGTTTAGATCAAAGTTCTGCACCTTTACTTGCTAAAATTGGAAAAAGTAATCTTTATTTCCTAAATGAAGAAACTATGAAGCTGAGCTGCTAGATTGCAACAACTGGGTAGGGCAGGCTGGGAGACAGGAGCGCAAAGCTTGCCTTCCCATCTTTGGTCTTTCATGCTTTTAGAGCTTTTCCTCTTAAGATGCTCTTCATCCATCTCAGCTGTTCTAAGCAACTAGAAAGCGCCACATTTGCACAAGGGTGTTTCATAGCAGAGAACCTTCAGCCCCAGCTTACAAAGTTCTTCACCAACTACAGTAAATGTATCACACATAATTGAAAGCAGAACTTGATTTGCACTGTGTTCCAAATAATGAATCTGTCTTTATTTAATTGTAATCTGCCTCCAATATATACAATAGGTTTTTAAAAAAATATCATTACAATCAATAGGATTTGTACCATCTTCTCATGTCAGCCATGCAGATAAAGCCCTGTGGTGGGACCCTAACTTGAACATCTGACATATTCAGGTGAGTAATAAAAAAATCAGGTGGTTAAAAACAGTGCTTGTATCGGCTGAGATAGGCAGGTCTTTGCCTACAATTTGCTGTTCAAAACAATTTATGATGTCTTTGTGGTTTCAGGCCAGAAGAGCTAAAATTCTTATACTCTTACCTGCTTATATGGGGTTCTAGTGCCCTGCCAGAAATCGGTGCCATGTCTACTGGCATTATTGCTGCAGTTGACAGCCAGTATGAATAGTCATTGCGAGAAGCAAAACTACAAACATCATTGGTGTTACAGAATAGGAATGGCATGGTGGTAAATCTCTGCAAGCAGCTGCCAGCTGTTCCTAAAAGACAAAAGAGGAGAGGTTTGTGACAGATCAGAGTTTATATTTAGTGCAGCGAACAGAATAGACACGATGGCATCAAATCTGCTATAGTGAGGATTAAAACAGTTGGTAACTAGAAAGAGAGAACTGTCTGTACAGTGGAGTTATCCAAAAGCAAAATGCTTATGGTATATATAAAGATATGTGTATAAAAAATAAGGGCTAGAACCCAAATCTGTTAAAATAATAGTAACTTCTTGAAAGGTATCAGTCCTTGACATAGTGGCAGGGATTCAGCTGCTTAAACAAAAGCTTCTGGTGCCATTTTTGACACCATAAAGCATCCCACTTGGTCTCCAAAAAAGCAAGATTCTGTCTCAGATCCTGTGTTGTTACTGTCAGCCCTGTGCAGATACTGTGAACGTTTATATTAGACATCTATCTATAAAGTAACTGAATACCTTCTGAAAAATGCCTAGGGGTAGCAAAAAAGGAATAATGGAGTGCAGGAAAGAAAGGTGTCTTTCAAGCCAAGATTCTTGCATTGACTCAGAGCAGACCACTCTGGAGACTGATGGTTGAAACCAGGTGTTCATCTTGGACACTTACTGTGAATTGGGTTTCATGACAACTTAGCATTACTGGACTCTAAAGAAAACAATTTGAAAATTTTTACCGATACAGTACCAAGGTCTTGTCCGTGTGCTCGTTCATTTCCTTGTACAAAAAGCAGTGAATAGCCAACGTAGATCTGCGATGTCCCATGTGGGCATGAAGGAATCTTTGTTGATTGGCTATGCCGGGTAAAGATAAAACCTCTTCTGGTTGGACCAGGAATAATAGTACCTGGTGATCCAGGTAACCCCTGTAGACCTGGAAAGCCAATCAGCCCAGGATGTCCTGTGGAGGGGAAAGAAATGTGACTGCAAATGTTAAAATTTTGTTCAAATTTTTACTTCACTTAAATTAGTGGAACCACTTGAAAACTAACAAAAAATGTATCAATAAGAAGATACAACTTGAAAATTGGTAGTATTTGTTGCTAGATGTATTAACTCCTTCAGACCTCGCTCAGGTAGCTTTACATTGCATAGTTTCATGGAATAGTGACGTATGAAGAACCATGGCCATTTTTACCAAAAAAGTTGTTAAGTAAAAACATTTTATGATGACTAAATAAAAACATTTAGTTCTATTTTGATGTCCCAAAAAGACACACTCATACCTAGGGATTTCAAGTGAATAAATAAATGTGATTAATAATAGAGGAGCACAGTCAAGACATATTTTTGTAAATTATTATTTCAGTTGTTAACATGCATCTGTTAAAAGCTATGAATGTGCTTATATGTGCTTGTGGCCCTAAAGCTACTGTAAATGTTACAAAATCTCAGTACATGCAAGATGAAGGATTTACAGAAATCAGGAATACAGTTTATCTGTAAATTCAGTAGTAACAGTCAGAGATGTCTGCTTCCCTGTACCTCTTTGTCCTGGAAATCCCCTGTCTCCTTTTGGACCAGGCAACCCTGGTTTACCTGGATGACCAAAACGTCCTGGTAGACCTTTTACTCCTTTAGGTCCTAAATTGTAATCAAGCAAAAAACCAGAATCATATAGCAGTAGTTATTCTAGATTTTAATAACTGTTAATGAATAAAGCTAAAATCCCCATGTAAATGTAGCTGCATTACAATAAAAACATCAGCATTAATTTACTTTTTGACGTTTTGAGACTGTCTGTAGTGTTACTGTCACCATATTTCCTATCAGGAAGATTACAAGGAAATATTTAATGTATTGCAGAAAAATATTATTCTCATAAGAAATGTTTACAGAAACCAAAGCAAACAGCTTTTTCTTTTAGCCTTTATCACACAACAGAATTATTTCAGAAATATAGTAACAGGCCATAATCATCTTGGTTATGGTTTGTAATGCTACAAATAATGCAGCTCCTTTATAAAATAACTTTAAGGGAAGTGTAAAAGAACAATTCTTTAGTACCTGCTTTGTTATGCTGGAGGCAACTGTCATTCCTGAGTGGGGCATACCTTCTGGCAAGCCTACCCGCCCCGGGGTGGAAAGCTCTGGTATTGAGAAGGGTGGCCAACTACCCACTGCACATCCACCTCATCCTACCTGCTCCTTGCTTCCCCATTCCTCACAGCCATGGCAGGCTTCACTGCGGGTGCCAATGGAGAAGCAGCCTGCCTCTCCTTTCCCTTCCCACGCCCAGACTGTGAGACACACAATCACTTTGTAGCACAACTAGACTACTTCTATTATGTGTGGTAATTTCCCTCCCAAAATGACAAACATCCTGAGTATGGTTCTGGTTGTATGAAAATGGTGAATGTTTTGATCCAAGATTATTTTTTATTCCATTCTTTTGCTTAGGCTTATGTCGAGGGAGAAACTTGCTCACTCACTGAGTGTGAGGGTGGAGGGCAGGTGGAGTGGGACAGGTTGTTATAAATACAAGGTTGTTAACAAGGTACACAGAGCTATATTTAAATATGGAGAGCTATTTTTAAAGATGTGAATTTTCTATGCAGAAGCATGTTTTCCCATCAAAGCAGCACACATAAACGTGTACAGAGATAAAAACATAAACCACCTTGTAGTCCAGGAATCCCTTGAATTCCTGGATCACCTGGTGTTCCTGGGATTCCTGGCAATCCGGGAGGACCCTTGCTTCCTGGGATAGCGAATATTCTCCCAGGAACTCCAGGTGGACCTAGCAGCAAAAATACAATGAAGAGCTATTGCTTTATATTAAAAGCAAGCAAACAAACTACAAACCAAACCAAACCAATCAACCCAAGTCAGGTGGTATTAGAATGAGAAGGGTTGGTTACCATGTTGGCCCTTTGGTCCCCTTGGCCCTTCTGCACCTTGTGGTCCAGGGGGTCCTCGATTACCCTTTTCTCCTAAAAGACAAGATTGGAGTTACATCTGTCTGGTTTAAAATGTTAAAACAACTGTCAAAGTTTCAGAGGCTTATTTAAGAGTCCTGCATGATCCATGCAACCTTCCCAAAGAGAAACACAGCCTGTAGACTTATCTGAAATGCAGAAGCTGACTTCTACATCTCTGCTGTTACTGAATAATTTATAGGCAAAGATGTTCCCATGCCTATCTTCATATAAGGGCTGGTCCCATAAACCTAGCTTAAAATCTCAAATTTAGACTATGTGCTTTTTATCTTACGCATTTTTGTCACTGAGTTTGTAGGTCAAGTGCCGCTTTCAGGGATGCTGTGCAGTTCAACTCCCTTTAAACACTACTGTCAGTTATGCTGATGGCTGTTAGGAGGGTTGTACAGTTTTTCAAGTGTTTGAAATGTAGTAAGCAATTCTTTGCACTGCGCAAAATATGAAGTTACATCCATATCACTCTCCACAGCTCTGCTAGAAATTTAAAAAAAAAACAAACCACAAAAAAAGGTATTTTTATCATCAAGTCAGGAGATTTGACTGACTATGCCACAAAGTAAGAGCTTTTTGCTTAAGAAAGTATAATTACTGTCTGTGCAGTGACTTTCAAATTAGAATGAATTTAAAATACACAATAATTGGCATGGAACACAAACCAGTCGGTTAAACAGGTACTGACAATTTTGTGTCACTGTAAATCATGTAACTGAAAAATGAGAATACTGGAGTAATGCAGACCTGTATCAGATTTAAATCACCAGAAAAATGTCAAAATTAAAGGATTTTTAGCCAACTGACTTTCAGGAATATGGAATTAATGAAGCCAATACATTTAACAGTTTGTCTGCTGATAAACTGGTAAATTAGATTATAATTGGTACTATTCTTACAGCAAACAGAAGACCCAGTGCTCTGTCTTGTAATTATGATTAAATATTCGAGTTCTAGAGCTAAGAGGTTGCCAAAAATTCACCTCTTCTAGCAGTGGTTCGGCATTTCTAATTATTAGACTCAGACCCCAAGTCCTTACACATTATTCGTCACTAAGGACAAAGTTGTTTTGAATTTGCCTGGAATGGAGGCCATTGAAGTTTCAGCCCTTCCCCACTTTAACATCAGTTTGGATATACCCATAGCATCTAACTCAAAGAAAATGCTTTCATTTCTAGCTGTCCTACAACCTGCTCTTCATCGAAAAAACTCATGTCTCTAGGACCACACCTGGTACTGTTACACACATACTATTATAACGCAACATGTAAATGATTGTATTTGGCACACAGATGTGTATATAATAAATACATGAATACCTTTTACACCTGGGAATCCAAGAAATCCAGGGTCCCCTCTGGCACCAGGATAACCTGATCGACCTTCTATTCCCTGCAAATGAGGTAACACCAATAATAAACAGGAAGCACCATCTGCATGCTATGAAATACATTTTCTTTTTGTTCAGAATATTCAAAGCATTACATTCACAGAACATGCTATAACTAGAATTACCTGCTCCATTTGTAAGCATGTTAGAAATAGTCACATAATTGTTAATATTATCGTGTAATATAGAACAGCCAAGAAAATGACAGGCCAGAAATTCACAGTATTTCTTTTCAGTCCACTTAAGTCCATAAAAACTGCTTACCATATCCATTTTAATATCTGTCCTATATTACAAGTGTTTTTTTGGGAGGATGTGGATTTTTTTGGTTTAGTTTGTTGTGGTTTGTTTTTTCTGGGTGGGGGATTGGTTGGTTGGTGGTTGGTTTTGGTTTGGTTTTTTTATATTGTCCTGAGTGTCATTTTCATGGTAAGAGCAAAATTAAAAATAGAGTAAGAAACAAGCAATATTCCTTTCACTGACTTTTGGACCAGGAGGACCAATGTCACCAGCTGGGCCTGTTGGTCCTGGTATGCCATCTGCCCCTCTAACACCTTTGCTTCCTTTCATGCTGCGAGTGGGAAGACCAGGAGGCCCTGGAAAACCAGGAGCACCTGTACAGAAACATCAGAGTAAGGAAAGATTGCTGCCAACAGCATTTCACATACATTGCAAAATAATGCAATCGAGTGGACTGCAAAGCTTAGCGTTATTTTAATTTACATCATACTGCATAGACCAACATGGTGTTTGCAATGGTAACATTGCATTAACTAGTAAAGGAACTACCTGTTTAATTATGAAGCTTTCCTGGGGGAAGACCCCTTTCAACTTTGAATTCTGGACAGGCTGAATTCTGCTTTCAGTTATCAGCATATCATTTCAGATAAATAAGGAGTTGTAACAACACACCTGGTCTTCCATCTGCACCAGCAACACCTCTGTTCCCTTTTTGGCCTGTAATTGCCATGCCTGTTGAGCCTTGAAATCCAGGTAACCCCACTAAGCCAGGAGGTCCAACGGGTCCTTGATCACCCTGATGACCTTTCATACCTGGTGGCCCAGGAAAACCAGGCAGACCCATGTCCCCTTTGATTCCTGCGAAGTAGAAATATTACATATGCAGAGAGCTGTCAAGATGATAAGATGATGTGATTACACAGAATATGTGCGTTTATGATACCACAAAGGTGGAATTCAGCTTTTGTTTTTAGTATGGAGAAGTCCCCAAAGCCTCCTTGCCACATTAAAGCAAAGTAGTTGTAAGACAGGACTCACTGCAAGGCAGTGTACACACCTGTCTCTTTTTTTTTTTTTTTTTTTTTAAAAAAAAAAATCTCTACTTCAGAGATTGCTCATACAAAGGAATAAACTTGAGAGGGGGGTAGAAAGACCAGAGGAGGCAGAGCAGGGAATATTTCTTGATGCAGAAGAAATGCTTCTTTGAACATGAGAACTGGCAAATCCTCTTAAACTAAATTCCAGCTAAAAGCATCAATATGAGTACAATAAAATAAGAAACTACTCCAAAAGGGTATTGTTCTGAGGTTGATCTTAGAGTGACCTATATATGGAGGGTATGAAGACAGAATTTATTTTTTTTTTTAAAGTAAAGCAAATCGATGTATTTCTACCAGTACTAGAAATACAATGTAAAACCTAAAAAATAGAGTCCCCTCAGACAACTGTTCATCAGTATAAAAGGGGAGATGAACAAAATTAAAATGCAATCACTGTAGCTTTCTTACAGTATGCTTAGTATTCAGCAGCAGCACCTGTTTTCATTAGAACATACTCTGTTAATCAAATTATGAATCAAAATAAAATTTCAAAGGCTCTGGAATACGTGTATCACCTTCACAAACCCACAGAAGTTAGCTTCTTTTCTCTTTTACAGTAGTCTTTACAAGCAATAACTCTTGATATTTAATATATAGCACCAAATCATTGATCAAAAGCACAGAATTACTCTTGACTTCCTCTGACACTCTCAGTGCCATTTCAAGCATCCAAAGGCAGGAGGCAACTTAAAGATGAAGATGATGATTCTGGTATTTAGAAATTAAGTTTTTGTTTTCTGAAAAGACTAACTCACCTTTACGACCAGGAATACCTCGAAGGCCAGGGATTCCTCTCCCTGGTGCTCCTATAAAATATTAGGTTACGTTACACTCAAGTCCCAAATAATTGTTAGAAAACATCATAGTTGTCTAATATTTCATACATTTCTTCACAATTCACTGAATCAAAACGTAGACTTTAGTTATATGTAAAATATAATTTATTGGTTACTTCCATTTCTTCTATCCAGAAATACAAATTAAATTTCTACGTTTTTTCTTTATAGTAGGAACTCTTATTCATCAATCATGCTTGAGGTACATTCTACAATAATAAGCCTTGTCTTTTTCAGAGGGAAAAAAACCCAGAAGAAAAATCTGCATTTAAGTTAGTTACTAAGAAAAATAAAGGAAGAAATGTAAATACCTAAAAAAACCCCAAAACGTTAACAGTTATTACTTCAAACTTAATATGAAAAAAACTTGGTAAATACTATGAATGCCTTCTCAGTATCCTCTTTATATTGATATGCAAAGAAACATTTTTACTGTAAAATATGAAAACACTTTCTGTCAGAATTTAGCGGAGGACTAAACCTATCTGTGGACCCTGAGGACAGCAGGAGTGACATTTAAATGAAAGATTTACAATCAAAGGGCCAAGTCATGGAAACCTTCACTATTCATGTAAGTTAACACTGTGATTCCTTTTATCTTATTTCTACATAAGAGAGAAGACTCTTTTAAAAGTATTTGGGTTCTTTTCATCTGTTTGAGATTAAACACATAAGTACTGTTAACAGCAATACTTTGGCTCTTACAGACATAAACATTTTTAGGGGAAGTCATGACAAATCACATGTATAATAGAGCAGTGACATATGCACTTGGGTTGTTAACAGCATGTACAATTACATAGAAAAACCTGTGAATTTTGTAAAAGTGAAAAACCTTCTACTTACAAACTTATCTTTGTCTCCACAGAAGCTCCTTATTAATCCTCCCCCAAAAATTCTTGTCAGTTTAACAAGGGAAAAAAACAATTGTAAAATAGAATGGAAATATTTCACTGGTGTTACCTGGTTCTCCCTTTACTCCTGGGGGACCAGGCATACCATCCTGACCTTGATTACCTCGTTCACCAACAAGTCCATTTTTTCCAGGGTCTCCAATAGCACCTGCAAATTATAATGGGCCACAATATAATTTTCACTTCTATTATTTTGCATTTCAAAGGGAGAAGATATGAGTCCTCTTTATTAAAATTTAATTAGTTCAGCTACTTCACAGATACATGTAACTGTGTTGGCATATAAACATTTGCAAAGAGCAGCATGTAATTTTTATTGAGCTCACTGGACTTCAATGGATTTAACACCCCCACCATTTTCACAGGCTGCAACTTCCTGTCTTTCAAAGATATTTTAGGACCCTGCCTTTGATTTAACCCACACTGGTGGATTTCTCTCTCTGGCTTTATTACAAATTCAAGGTTTCTCTAAACAGGGAGCAGATTCTGATCTTTGCTAACTCTGCTGGTAAGTCAGTGCAAGTTCATTGAAATCTACAAAACCACAACATCATAATTTTGATGAGGATCTCTGAATATAAGAGCATTCAATACTCTTTTTGAAGACAATGACTGGCACTCACTTTATTAAAGTCTGCATTGCATACCTCTGTTGCTGCATATTTACACACTCCCCCTTAAGTTTATTTTGAATGGCTTGATCTTTTCTATTGCTTTAAAAAACAACTGCAACTCTGTCCCCTCTTTCCACTCTACTTCATTTTCTTCTCCACCTCATCTATTATTCTCTTTTAGGAGGTAGAACAAGCTTTCTTACAATGGTGCACATCTTGAGACCTCTGGATAATTTAAAAAAAAAAAAAAAAAAAAAGCCAAAAAGCTTTACAATAGTGAAACAAAATTAAGACCTCTTGCCTCAGCTGGACTGATAACATTGAAAACAGGCTGTTAAAAGACCTTAGCTGGAACCAGATAAGGTAAACAAAGCCTCTAACAAACGTAAATAGAGACTGCAACTGCATCAGTTAAATTCTAAATAGCTCAGAAGAACATCAACTTCCTCATTACAAAGAAAATAACAAACCAGGGGGGCAGTGGTTTGGGGGAGATGCTGTATACCATACCAGGAGGGCCTGTAATGCCCTGTTGTCCTGGGCGGCCCTGCCGTCCTTTAACACCATTATCTCCAGGAGGTCCAGGCTTCCCTGTAAGAAGAAAGAGAGTGGGAGAGAAGAGGAGGCGTTATCACTAGAACCAGACTCAGTCTGAGAATTTTGCTATCATTTCTGCTTTGAACAGCTGTGAAAGATCTCTAGGTAACATAAGCTAGCTTGGCTGCACTGACTACAAAGGAGCTGTTTAGGTTTACAGCAGTTGAATATAAATGTGCCACCCCACCAGCACTGTGAGTAGTTTACTGAGAAATTACCTTCTAGAAGCCCATCAACACCTCACTACCCCTCCAAAACAAAACACACCTGGGATTCCTGCACCTCCAGTTTCCCCTCTGATCCCATGTGGTCCTGGTACTCCTTTATGTCCTGGATGACCTCGGGATCCTTTTTCTCCTTTGCTGCCCAAAACTCCTGGGGGGCCTGGATCTCCCTGAGAAATAGCAGTTGCACACAAACAGGTAAAGAATCACATTACATTAAATACATTACATTCCATATTTGAACAACAGAAAAATCATACATAATGTTAAAGGTTAAGTAAGCGTAATCATGGTTCATTATGATTTTCAGACAAAAATCAAAGCAGACTAATATGAAGTCTTCTCACAGAATCACAGAATCGCAAGGCTTGGAAGGGACCTCGGGAGATCATCTAGTCCAACCCTTCTGCTAAAGCAGGTTCTCCTAGAGCATGTTGCACAGGACTTCATCCAGGCGGGCTTTGAATATCTCCAGAGAAGGAGACTCCACAACCCCCCTGGGCAGCCTGTTCCAGTGCTCTGTCACCCTCAAAGTAAAGAAGTTTTTCCTCATATACAACTGAAACCTCTTATGTTTCAGTTTGTACCCATTGCCCCTTGTCCTGTCACTGAGCACCACTGCAAAGAGTCTGGCTCCATCCTCATGACTTCCGCCCATAAGATATTTGTATGTGTTGATGAGGTCCCCTCTCAGTCTTCTCTTCTTCAGGCTGAACAGGCCCAACTCTCTCAGCCTTTCCTCATAGGGGAGATGCTCCAGTCCCTTTATCATCCTAGTTGCTCTCCTCTGGATTCTTTCTAGGAGTTCCTCATCTTTCTTGAACTGGACACAGTACTCCAGGTGGGGTCTCACTAGGGCAGAG